GACTGAAGAAAATGTTGCCTGTTACAGTAACTGAAACCCCTCTTTTGCTCTGCGTGGCTGTCTCACCAACTTGATAAAAAATTAGGCTCGTTTGTATCAGTTTGTTTACAATTTTGAGGAGCTTTTTATTTAATTATGTTCTTACTATTTTTTTAATTCTATGTAACATCCACGTGGTTGTAAAGTAAAGCTATAAAATAGGAAAGTCTCACTTCCACTGCCCTTAAGGGGTCATTGTCATTAGTTTTTGGGTTATTCTTCAATTGTTTCTTCCTGAAAATGTGTGTGTGTGTGTGCGTGTGTGCGCAGTCCACACCTATGTATCGCAAAAGTCACTGATTATAAACACTGCCCTCTCTCTCTTCCCTTCTTTTTATTGAACTAAGCAATGAGCACCCCGGGAGATCCCCCCCACTCCTTTCCCATCGGCATTCTACCCCATTGTGTGGATGCTCCAAACTTATTCCACAGTCTCCACTGACAGACACTTTGGAAATGTTTCTCATCTTTTGTTATTACAAATAGTGTAGCAGGGAATAGCTGGTCCACACATCTTTTTGTATTTGTACGAATGTATCTTTGGGATTGATTCCTAGATGTAGAATGGTTGCCTTAAAGGGCACTGCCATCCAATTGATTCTGATTCATAGCGACCCCCACTGGGCTTCCAAGGCAGTAAATCTTTATGGAAGTATATTGCCCCATCTTTCTTCCATGGAACGGCTGGTAGGTTTGAACCACCAACCTTCGGGTTAGCGGTCAAATGTCTTAGGCACTGTGCCACCAGAGCTCCTTTAAAGGCTGTAGGCACGTGCAATTTTGCTAGCTGTCCTCCACAGGAGTCGAACCACCAATGTGGACTTTTTCCAATTCACAAAATGAGGGGCAGTAAAAGCAGAAACCCCACCTCTAGTCTACCACCTGAGCCTGGGTCCCAGGTCAGCCTCCCAGTTGCTCCAGTTAGAGACAGGCTTAAACTTGATCTCACACGTGAGCACCAGGGCCCCGGAAAATTCCATTTGCTTCGGCTGGAATAATGCCACAAGAATGAGGTAGCCCTGCTCATCTCAGGTGGGCGGAAGCTCTGTGTGGTCGCTTTTGGTCTTCTTCGATCGACAAGAGACTTATAAACTCATTATTCTTTACATGTTCAGCTCAGCCAACAAAATGTGTCAAGGCATGGGGTCTGTGAGAGGAATAATAGCAAGTGCTGAGCATGTGGAAGGTGTTGTTAAGGTCAGCGGTTTGTCTGACCCTTGTGGGCTTTCCTTACACATGGAAGGCAGGTGAGTGTGGTTAGGGTACATTCAGTCTCTCAGCCATTGGACCAATGTGCACTGAACACTCCAGGCTGGAGAGAAACACCTGTGCCGCCTACAGGCCGAAGCTAGCCCACAGTTGCCTTAAATTGGCCCATGCAGTGTATCTGAAAAGAATTGATTAGTTGCTAACATTTACTAATCGGAGTATTTCACATTAATATCAGGTGATCTCACTGGCCGTCTTTCATCGCGGCATCTGCTCTTTGGAACTGAGTAGAGGCTGCCCCCTTGTGGCGGGACCCTGTCAGTCGCTTCCCTTACCTGGTCTGGAGTTTGTGAACCCTGCCCTACACTGGGTTCAATCCCCAGCCACTGGACTCATGCTCAGCTATAAGGCTGTGCATTGTGACGCGTGCAGGTTTCAGTGGAGCTTCCAGACTAAAACAGACCAGGAAGAAAGGCCTGGTGATCTAGTTTCAAAAATCAGCTAACGAAGCCCCTGTGGGTCACAATGGTCCAATTCACAACCAATCATGGGGGTGACGCAGGACCGAGCAGCATTTCATCCTGTTGTGCACAGGGTTGCCAGTAGTTGGGGGGCTGGCGGGCAGCTAATGACAACTACAAGAAGCCCTGAACTGCAAACCCCCTGAAGGCAAGGACTGCATGTCTTTGTTGGCTTTGACTACCCAGCATCTAGCCCAGTCCCCAGGACATAACGTTTGTTGAATGAATAAAAGATCTTTTGAATGCATCCACCAAATCATTTGCAATATTAAAATTGTACAATTGTAGCACTGCCCTAGTCTGGACTTTTGAGGTAGATGGGCAACACAAGGGTCACTGATCTGGGTTATCCCACCACCTAAATCCATCCACACGTCAGTGGGTTGCCCTGCAGAGTCTTCGCTCTGCAATTAGTCCTCTGGTCTGTAAATGAGGATAGCCGTGAGCAGTTCCCAAAGGCACCAGGAGACCGCAGGAGAGCCTGCACTCAAACCTGGTGCCGGCTTAGTCTTTATCACGTTTTTTGCTTCTATCTCTGGGACAGCAGTAGTCTTCCCACTCTTTGTTAGACTAGCAGGCGGGGCTCTGTTTTGTTCTTTTCAGTCAAGCCCAAAGGAAGACAGTACTATTGAAATCTCTGTAG